TCTCCCCCTCTCCCCCTCCTTCCCACCCAGGCACATTCCCCCCTCTCACTCCCCCTCTCCCTGTCCCTCTCCCTCCCCTCTAGTCCCACCCCATTCCTTCTCCCTCCCTTCCAATCCGCAACCACCCCTCATCCTCCCCCTCTCCCCCTTCCCCACCCTTCTCCGTCTCCCTCCTCCTTTCCCCTTCTTCTCCCTCCCTTCCTCTCTCTCCAGTCCGGGGCCTAGTCCTCCCTTTCCCAAGATTCCACAGCCATATAATACCCCTGCCACTGCACAAATACCAAAAACGACCAGTGAGACCAGTGAGACCAGTAAGACCAGTTAGACCAGTAAGACCAGTGAGACCAGTAAAACCAGTGAGACCAGTAAAACCAGTGAGACCAGTAAGACCAATATGACCAGTAAAACTAATGAATCCAGTAAAACTAATGAATCCAGTGAGACCAGTAAAACCAGTGAGACCAATAAAAGCAGGGATATTCACAGATTCTGCACCCTTTGATCAATATCAAATACTTATAATCCTCTCAGACAAAAACAGTTCCTCATCACGTTCTAGATGAACATCTTATTTTTAAACAGTGTCCCCTCATTCTGGACTCTCACACAAGGGGAAGCATCCTTTCCACATCCACCTCCCCTCAGGATCTTATACATTTCAATTTAGTCACCTCCAACCCTTCTAAACTCTACAGGAGACAGCACTAACTCTCCTTAGCCTTTCCTGATGACGCGATCTACTCATTCCTGGGATTAGTCTGGTAAACCCTCTCTCAAAATGATCAGAGGTATAGATAGAGTGGACAGCCAGAGACTTTTTCCTAGGGTGGAGGTAGCTATTACGAGGGGGCATAGTTTTAAAGTGAGTGGAGGTAGATATAGGGAAGACGTCAGAGGTAGGTTCTTTACTCAGAGAGTGGTCGGGGCGTGGAATGCATTGCCGGAGAGGGTAGTGGAGTCGGCTATTAGATAGGCATATGGATGATAGAATAAGGTAGGGGTGGAGGTTAGATAGACCTTAGTTTTAGGGTAAAAGTTCGGCACAACATCATGGGCCGAAGAGCCTGTACTGTGCTGTACTGTTCTATGTTATATGTTCAACTGCTCCCACCATCCCTCTGTAAGCACAGTGACCAGTCCAGTACACAGTCCCCCAGATACAGCCTCAGGGAGGCATAAACTCCCCATGCTCTTGCATTCAATTCCCCTTGCTATTTGCTTCCATCTGACACTGTTGGAGGGTCAGTGCTGAAGGACCTGGCAGTGTCAGAGGGTCAGCGCTGAGGGAGCAGGCACTGTCAGAGGGTCAATGTTAAGGGAGCAGGCACTGTCGGAGGGTCGGCGCCGAGGGAACGGGGCACTGTCAGAGGGTCA